GATTTGAAATCATATACTGGTATGTATGAATGAATGGAAATTATTTGTTTGCAAGAGTAGCATAAACTTTGTACATTTCCTTTTATGAGTGCCACCGTATTTGATAGTATTTCCTATACTAGTGTTGTAGGGATGTATCAGTATAAATCACACCAGCTTCTAATGCATCAGACTGTATAATAAATAATAACCACCTATTGAATGAATTATACTGGTAATATATACTGGGCACCAACTAATATTTTTCTAATTATCTGCCTACCTGGTTATCCTAGGAATTCGTATGGCTCTGTAGCCATGGTATTTGAGTATCCTCAAACCTCTGAACCTCTGATGTACCTGTTATCTCCATGCAGGTCTGATGCATATTAGTACAATTATTCCTGTATAGGTATGTCACTAAAGTCCTAAGATGAATAACTAAGAATAACCTCAGAAGTCTATGACCTCTTGATTCATTTGCTGGCTGTGAAGAATTACTCTCTGTCTTGCATAGTTAGGAAGCTGAGTCATAAAAAACTAAATTTACGTGCCCATAAACACATAGATAGCAACAGAGATGGAATCAGAACTGATGGTGTACAGATCCTCAGTCCCTGTCTGGTTGCATTAAGTTTCTGTCTCCTGTCTTCAGTGATCATACTTGGTAAAATAGCTAGCAGTTGTTGCTCTTCACAGTGCAATGCTTCTGTGATGTGTGTGAAGTGGACTTGGCAAATAATTGTTTATCAAAAAGTTAAATTAATTGGATAATAAGGCAGTTGCTTAGTACATTGACAACTGAATTTATCAGCCCTCCTACTAAACTGCTGCATGAATCTGGGCAATTACTTCACATGCTGCCATTTTTCTAATTTAATATAGGGATAATAACACACTTGGACATCCAGGCATAAAAATCACTGTACAATGCTGTTCTGCTTCTCATTTAAGACAATTTAATGAGAAAAGGAAAGGAACAGGGAAAATAATACATTTTTTCTATTTAGTTTAATGGAGTTTCTGTGGTACAACTCAAAGATCTCACTCTTGAAACAGAAGTGGCTGGTAAGGACATTTCAGTTTTAAGTTTTACGTTGCCAGCAGACGTTACTGCAGGGCTGTTGTGCTAGGCAGGGTGTAGCCTCTGCAGCTCTTGCTTAGGGGTTCTGCACCCCTTGCCAGTCAGCACTGGATGGAGTTCTCTGGGTCTGTCTCAGAGCCGGTTTTCCTTTCCACCAAATACAGTGTAGGACTGTGGAAATGGGTTATATGTAGCAGATGTGTAACTTCACTCTCACAGCAAAACTGACTATGAAAGAGTTAACCCAAGTAATGGCAACACTTCAGTAAAAATGAGGGAGGAGGAACTTGAGTCTCAAGTCTTAATAAAATGCAGGTGTTTTATTGTTAAGTTAAAAATGTCTTAAGACTCCAGCAAGCATTTAAAAATAAGAAAAAAAATTGTGCTATTGAATAAGAAACTTGGAAAGGCAACAACAGGCCGTGCAAGGCTTCTATAGAGAATGCAGCAGGCGCTGGCTAAGGCTAAGGGAAAACAAAACATAAATATTAACTAAACAACACCTCTCCCAACATGCATCTGGCCTCTGAGGTATTACACCTGGGATTAACTTCTGACATTTTCCTTTGCACCATTGTGACTTTGCTGTCTTACCAGCTTCGTGCAGAGTATTTATACTCATTTTTCAACCTGTCTTCTTGCTTCCAAGTCTGTTTGGGGTCTCAACAGGGTGACAGGCACTGCATTCACAGCGTACAGAAAGGTCTGTTACATTTGCACTTGCTTTTATGTCAGGGATAGGTGGGGGAGGGGGGGGGACCAAACTGGTTTAGAACAAGCTAATAAAAGAAGTTGCAAAGAAATCACTAATCACTGTTTTCTTCTCTTTCAATTCCCTCTCCTTATCCCAAGAAAGCAGAAAATTTGGGGGAGCATTTGTCAGTAAATTGCACTGTTTAGGTCACAGAGTAGATGGATTGCACTGAACTTTGACCTTTAACTTCAAGCTCCTTATGTATTTGGAGAATAAACATAGTTATGACTTACTAAAGGGAAATGCAACATGAAGAACCAGAGAAGACTGAATGTACTTATGGTTGCCCAAGGCCTAAGATTACTGCATCCCTATGGGCCTTAATTAGTGTCCTGGAGATGGGCTGGGTATTTTTGGGAAGTATGGTGAAAATAGTTAACTAATTGCTCTCCATAAAATCTCAGCCCTGGGAGAAAGTCAGGCATCTGTTTTCCTGGCCTTAGTCTTGGTGATGTAAATCAACTGTCACTACTAGAGGAGAAGGACAGAAATAGTCCATGGAGTACCTGATAGGATGGAAAACAAGAGTAATTTGGGTTTTGGTGCAAGAGTTTCACAACTGCAATATAGTAGGAGACAGAGAAGCAACAATGCAGACAGTCATTCTGCCAGTCATTTCATTTAGAAGACTGACAGGTGACATATAAACAGTACTAAGCAAAAAATGTAAATGACAAACAGAAAAGTCTAAGGTAATGAATAAAAATTAAGCTGATGGAGCTGTGGAACTTATAAATCTCAGTACTTGCCAGCTCTCGTTTTATATGGAGCAGAGCGCTCAGGGCAGCTTGAGTAAATAATTCAGAAAATGAAACAACAAAAATCAAAACCCGCCATTATCAGAGCAGAAACTCAAAAAAGGCCAGGCTGTGTGCCCTCTTTGTGCCGTTGTTCTGCATCCTTGCCACAGTCACTGGGCTATCTGAACTGATGGGCTGGAATACAGGCATCAGACAGACATCGCAGAGATGAAGGAGGGTGAAATGTAAATCCTTCTTCACACAACCCTCAGAATAAACGTTCTTTACTCTCAGCCATCATCAAAACTAAGTGTATTTTTCAGAAGCATTTCCTGAAGATGCAGTGGAATTGCAGACTATATCTCAAGAGAGGGTCAAAAAGCAGAAATCTTCACTAAGAGTATCTCAAAAATCTATGTAGAAATCTTTAAGTTGTCCTGAATGTGCTCAGGATCAGGCCCTTGAGGAAAGACTTATCTATCAGCATTTGTTAGCTTCTCCCAATTTTAGATCCTCCCTGGCCTCCTTTCCTCCTTCACTTTGTAGGACTGCTTTTCATCCCACTCCTACTCTTCTTTGCAGTTGCCAGTTCATGTTTCTAATGTCAGCAGTTCTCAATCTTCTCAGATAACCCTATTGTTGTTTGTGCCTTGCTATGTAAGGGAAACAACCCATGCTTTCTGTTCCCTTGTAAAAAGTCACTGCTGCTCAAGCTCCAGCAAATCTAGGCCAGCCCCTGCTCTGCGCAGCCTCCACTCGAATCCAGCACATCAGACTGCAAAAACTGGCAATGTCTCTGGTCTCAGGTGAGGAATAGCCACGGGCAGTGTTAGAAGCATGGGTTCTTTATTATTCGTCAAACTGGCCTTTATTTTTTCTTTCTAGTCTTACAATTATATTTTCTGATGTATGTTGTCTCTGGGAGCCACTGAGAAGTAATGGACAGATTTGCAATAAAATATGTACAGCTATGTCAGAGTGTTTTAAAATTAGTTTATATCAACTCTGAAATAATAGTGATGTCAGTCATTGAAAAACTTAAGAGAAGTACTTTATACTAGTACTAAGCATTAGCAGTAATCACTAGTGTTAGGCCTCTTGGTTATCCTTGCAGATACTGCTGACTCTTCCATATCAAGAGAAAGAAAGATTCTTCCTCTAAACAGACTCACTACTTTACATGCTGTAAAATTGTCTTGTATTTGACTCAAAGAACTGACAAATAACCTTTGCATCCTGTTTCTTATTCCTTCATCTTTGCATGATGAAAGTTCCCCTTCCGAATTTCATTTTCCTCATGTATATTTATTTTAAATGCCTGAAATGAAAACAAATTTCTTTGCAGCTTTCTTCTATACATAAAAAATGTAGTTAACTACTTGGAAAAGAAGCAAAGATCCCCATCTAAAATAATAACAATAATAATAATAATAATAATCATCATCATCATCATCATCATCTAATTTATCATGGAGGGTGGCACCAAGACTGAGACTCTGTCAATGGCACAGAGAATAAAAAAGATTGATTTCAGAATATTGAAGACCAAAGCCTTTACTTTCATGCTACTCTTCCCTATAGCATTTTAGCGTATTTTAAGAAATGCTTAAGGATATTTTTAGCCTCATTCTCCAGTTTTGTAAGTGGAGTAAAGAAACGTCTCCCCTAATTTATTTTTTATTTCTTCTAGCCTAATCTAAAAGGTTTTAGCATCGTACCTTTCACAGGTGATCTGTAGCTTTTTAATGGGAGTGAAATTCCTGAAGCGTTTACATGCAGAGCAGCAGAACCTGATTGCCTTCATTTCAAGGCTTAGAAATAGACTTAAAGGGCAATGGTGCAGATGCCTCCACCCAAGCCAGGGCTCAGAAGGGATAGGTACAAGTGAGTACAAAACTGTTTGCTTTCCCTTGCTTTACTGTGGGATACTCACAAACATTTAATTAAAGCTATTGTATGCATGCTTAACTTGGAGATATCTGTAGTTCCTTGAAGCCGTTACACAGGAGCACCGGAGAAAATACAAGGGAGTCACTGAAGGAAAATACAAATGAATTAGAAAAGCATAGCAACCAAAGAATACATTTCCCATAATACAACAGTCAAAGGTCATGAGATCACAGATGCTCAGTTGCTCATGCATATCATCTATTCTCTCCACTTGCATGCTTGCTCCAAGAGGGCAAAGATTTAATGAGGATGTGGCTAGCTTTAGCAGTTCTCACCCTTCCTCACACCCTGCATCTCAAAGAACATTGAAAGCCTCTTTGAAGTTGGAATAGACAGACATTGAACTGTCCCAGTGCACACATACAATCTGGGGTTTTCTCATCAGGTACAAAAATACAAGGTGACTGTTTTCTTCCGGCTGTCCTGGATGTGAACAAAGCTGGTGAATCAAAGACTTATTGAATTGAGGAGTGGAAAGGAGTTTCTCCATTGCATCTGTCTTTTCAACCTGCAGTAGCCCTTCTCAGTCTCACCGTATCTATTAGTCGGTTCATTTTTCCCAGCTCCTTAAGAAGAAATCCTGTTCAGACAAAACAGCACACTATTTACAGGAAGCTTGGCAAGGTCAAAAAGTGACTGTAAAACCGATCTCTTTTTAAAACACATACAGGATCTACTCTGATGTAGATACTATTAGGACTCAGCAATCTCTGATTTGCTATCTAGGCCTTGAAGGTGGTTTCAGAGTCATATTTGTTAAACTTAGTGACATTGTAAGTGTTATCACTTGTCATTAGCAGAGCTACCTCAGTTGCTCCAAGTCCCACTTAATCTATGCAGCTCATTATCCACAGCTTCTGACCTACTTAGTCACTTCCTGTCTTTATTTTAACCTTAGAGCCTCTTTTCTGTGTTGGCCTGTGACTGCCATTTAATCTTAATCAAACTTCCTTGGACTTCCATTACTGTCAAGTACAGCTTCTCTCACCATAATGCCCACCATTCTGAGTGTAAGAAAACTGATTTACAGCCAACAGTCTGCTGCTTCTCTTATGCTCTATGTTCATCTTTGCTTTGTTTTTCTTCCTGTGTTAGTCACTCCTTCCCTCTTTTCTGACACATTGTGCTATGCATTCTGTTTCCCTCAGTCTGTCAGTGGCTGAGATGCTGCCCTGCACACCTTTACTGGAGAGATCTGTGCCCAGCTACCGTATGCAGATTCAGAAAAAGCTGAAGAAGAAATTGAGTTGGCCACAGGCTGCTACAGAAAGTCAGCTTGTTTAATACGCCCTTGCTTCTGACTAGAAATTATGACCTACTCTGTTCCTTTATGCCTCGCTTAAGAGCTACTTATGCAAAACACAGATGTTTCGTCTACACCTCCCCAACCTAGCATCTTCCCTGCTACTTCAGGGCAGTTGTTAACTGTACAAAACTGTGAGGTGGGTACCAGCTTAAGAACTTTCCTAGTTCTCACTGGTTCACTCATGCTGCAGTAATATGCCTTTGAAATAGACTTCTTCAGCCAGTTTCCCTCCACGACCAGAATCCAATTTAAAGATGTTAATCCAGTACCATGGTGACTTTTGTCTGACAGGGGCACTTCTGAGCTGGTGACGTCTGTTGTTTTTCAAGATTCTTTCACTAGCACAGAGAAGTTCCAAGATGTGGCCCAATGCACTTTGAATGTCAGATACAAAACATTTGATGGCAATGGCATCTCTGTGTAACACATAGGAGAGATTTGTTCAGTCTCTTCCCACATGTATTCTCTCTCCTGGCTTTTTTCAGTATACCCAGTTCTGCTATTCTCTCCTCCTCCTAATTCTGTGCTCGTCAGCTTTTGGGTTTTGTTGTTATTAACATATGGAGGTTATATGATCCATCACTGAGTGCTGCCTTGTTCTCTTAATAAGCAGAAAATACCATACATTTTGGAAGGAGGAATTAGCTACAGGCTGTTCTCATTAAGACTCTCCTTCAACTTAGCTTAAATTTGTTTTTGAACTGCAGTCACTATGCATTGCAAGTTGAAAACAACCACTTGAGCGCTTTCCAGCGAGGCTTTGAAAGGCCCTGATACTAGGCATGGAGGAGAGATAAGCAGCACATTGAAGTTGTAGTATCACTTTAGTATCAAGGGCAAGGAGTGAATGGAAACATACCCTCCTTCTGGCACTGCCTGGCTCAGGACGAAGGGAGAGGAACAAACAGAGCAGCTTTGGTTCACAGGCACTGCGGGAGCCAGCAGCCTCTCAGCTGATGACAGATTAGACTCAGGGCCTGGTTAGTGGGAAGACTGTGATTAGACCTCAGCAACATCTGTCTCTAGCAGTAAAAGAATCACTGCTGCAGGCTGCTATTTTGTCAGCAAACTGTAATTATACCAGGAACCTCATTCCTGCTGTTTTTCTCAACAACTTAAGAGAAAAAAAAAATGTGGGTGAGAGTGCAGGGAAGCAGAAACTGTGAAAGGAGCAGGAAGGAGACACCTGTTTATTTTTGTTCAGCTCATTCCAATTATTTTCTCAGTTTCTTAGATGTATGAATCACAGTATGAATCACAGACTGGTTTTTCCCAAAGGTCAGTGCCAAGGTTTAGGTCTCTGAAGGTGTCCTGTCATTCATCTGAAGCTGATAGCACACATCCTCTCTGTGCACTTATGCCCCATGGCATCTTAGAGGAGTGTGGTGGTGCTTACAGAAGGTGTCACATCAACCTCTCCCTGGCAGTGTCCCCTCTCTCCTTCCATGGGTGTGGCAGTACAGAGTGCCAGACTCTGATCACAGCTGTTCTCAGGACATTCCCAGGAAGGTATGGCCTGGGCAGAAGTGTGGGATATTGGAGAGTGCTCAGGGTGAATTTGAACCTTCCTCCCAAAGGCTCTGTCTAGACTAGGATTTAGGAATTTGAACTTCAAAAATGTTAGGTTGTATATAGTAACTCTCTGTTTTAAAAGATGTAGAAAAGGCAGCATAAGTTTGAACTTGCAATAACACCTGGTAAGTTTGGCCAAAATAACAACGTCAAAAAAGATCAGGATTTCTTTGCAAGATTTCTCTACCAGAAAAAACTTTTTGTTTTTGCAGTTGTAACTATATAGAAGCCAGTTTGCCATTAGTGTTTTCTTTGCTCAGAATATAAGAAATAGATATTTCTCCTCCTCTCCTAGAATTAAAATCTAAGAGCGGAGTTTACCAATATAGCTTTACCATCCAATACTTAAAATGTAGACAAGGTCAAAATTATTAAACTGGTCTATGTACTTCTTTCTTAACTTTCCTCAGATCATTAATGTGACTGTTTAGAATACTTTGAAGGCAAGAGTGTCTTGTCTATGCTACATAATTTTATATCAACACCATACTCGTCTAGAAGAAAGCAGAATTGTTCCTTACCAGCATGTCTGCCCTCCATCCCACAGCACATCTGGCAGCAGAGCCAGGGATGAAAGTGTGGCAGCAGGAACTCGACCCTTGGGTCTGAAGGCACAGGGACGCTGCCTGTTGGCAAGCATAATTCTATCTCCAGAGCCAAGTCTCTGCAGATACTGGTGGGAAAGACACACATCTGGAGTTGTCTAGAATTGGCATAAATTGCTGTGGACAAAGAGGAGAGAAAGGAAGGGTTAGAAGGAAAGTGGAAAGAATGCCTCTTGCACATTCCACTTTCTTTTCCATCTGCTTGTGTGATGTTGCTGTGAGCTATTAAACATCTGCAGTACTCTGTCCCAGAAGGGACTGTGTTTCAGTAGAGATGGAGAATGATCTCTGCAGCTTAGCGCTTTGGGAGTCCCCTTGAATAGAAGGGGCAATAGGAGTAATGTTCCTCTGATTAACTATTATGCTAAATACATTTGGGAACCCAACATTTGTGGTAGTAGCCAAGATGCTGTTCTGGCTCCTCAGACCTGAAGCCCCTGACAGGCAGTGGGTACTGCTGGGTGCTTCTGACTCACCCTTGTCAAAGTAGGTGAGTCCCCTCTTGTCTTTCACCTTCCAAGCAGAACCTCCCAACTCTCCTGAACTGGTTCCAAAATTGAAGGAGAGCAGATTACTCAAGCAAAAGGTGTTTGCAGACTTTGAGACTTTGCAGCCTGGGGAGATAAGGATAGTGAGGGAGGACCAGGAGAAAGCAGAGTAGGTGTACAGTGGCTGCCAAGGCCTGTGCAGAAGAGCATTTTTTTTGCATCCATTCAGACGCTCAGCAATTTCCTGCATTTTTCCTGCAATCAGCATGCTCCACCTGCTTTTACTTAACCATTTCCTGTTTATGGCTTCCAAAAACTTTCTGGTGAAGTCACTAATCTGCCATAAGATCAGTCTTTATAGTCCCTTTTGGGCAAGCTTCACTCACTTTTTTTTCTCTCTCCTCAGTACACAGACCTTTCGGACTAAGGAGCTGTGTGCTGTGTGTACATGTCTGCATGCATGTGTGTGTGAATGCAGTCAATAGTTGTGTCACGAAACTATGTGCTTCCTCAACATATGCCCTTTTTTAGTTCTAATGCTTGTTGCTTTTTGCAAATTTGAGCAAAGAAACAAGCAGTAGCACTGAGGGTTGGGGCCCCTTTCTGTAGAACAGAGGGCTCCAGATATTTAGAGGAAGTATTCTTCCCGTTACTTTCAAGCATCTAAGAGCTCTTCCACAAATGAAGAATTTGTTCTCTGGATAGCTTGCCCAAGCTTCAAATTATTTCCTAGCTTTGAAAACAGTGACGCAATTTCTTCTAGTCTGCTGTTCAGATTCTCAGATGTGAAAGGCAAAGTGTGAGGAGCAGGAAGGATCAACCAAAGAAAAATAAATCTCTTCCTTACAGTGTAGATGGCTCCCACAAGTCCCCATCACACACTTAGTCACATGTCCTGTAGGAATCACTGGAAAAGCCTGCATACTTCAAGTCTGCTCTCCTTAGCCATCCTATAGATAACACTGCAGCTGCCACTAAAATAAAATTTATTTGTCACTGCTTTTTCTGGTTTTATTTCTCTTCTGGAGCAGTGAAAATAGATTCTTAAGTGTCCTCTCCGATTCTCATGCTCTTGCACAGTGCTGCAATGTTTGGGTTGTGGTGAACACTGCAGGGGAATGTTCCCTTCTTAAAATAAATCATGGAAACATTTCTGTTGGAATCAGGGCTTGTAGGAGTTTATTTTTGTTTAATAAGAAGAATGTCGGGCCAACTCTGGTCTGACACTATATCCCTTTAAAGGGAACAGGCTTCTGATGCATGTCAGCATATATATATTGACGTGTGTGTGTGTGTGTGTATGCACACACACCAGTATACATACCATTTACACTGGTATAACTGAGCACTGAAATAATCCTATAAGAATGCTGGACGTGCTGGTCCTTTCAGCACACAGATCTGCAAATTCCTTAACTATCTCTACTCATGTTAGTGTACATCAGGTTGCTTACTCTGCTGACTTAGGTGTGGAAGGGGTAGGTCTATAAGCATGCACTGGCACTGCTGCTGAGCCGTTTCACCCTTTGGTAATGAGGTTGATGGGCTCACACTCTCAGATGTTTCTGAATATTTTAACAAAAATGCTAAACCCACACTTCCCGTTTTAACTGTAACATAAACATGCACAGGTAGCACTCCTGTATGGGGTAGGAGATATGGTCTGGGCATCACTGATGTCCGGGCAGCTGTCTGCTGTCAGCATAGCACAACCCCACTGGGATCAGAGCTTGCTGAAGTATCCTTCAAGCTGTCTATGAGCAGCTTTTGAACTTTCATCAGGAAAAGGAAGCAGTTGTTTTCTACACAGAAGTGTCTTTCAGATTGATGCAAGTATGTAAAATGATTACTTTGGTTCCCATCCAGCCCAATTCATTCAATATTTTTTGTCAGGGTACTTGTCATCAGTGGCATTTACCCAGGGTGAGTCACACCTACCCAGGCAATGATCTGAGAGAGCCCTCAAATCTTTCTCATTTTCATTTTACAGGGTACAGCCCTGGTAAATTCATGACTGTATTGGACCACACAGCACTTTATAGAGCAGCTCCTTTTCTTCTAACCAGATTTCAGCCTAAGAGGCAACTACTTCCAAAAAGATTCTCTGGTTCAGTGCCTGTCTTTGTTTTCCGAATGTTTTTCACCACTCTGCTTTCTGGTTACACTGCAAATTTAGGTCCACTCAAGGTATTTTTGCCTCCCCCCTCTGCCCCAAAAATGAAGGAAAGCTGAACTGTATGAAAATGTAGTGAGAACTGAGACCCTCAAGGAAAATGACAAGAGGTGTAGAGGACCTTGCAAGACACTTTCCAGGAAATGGGTGGAAGGTTCATCACATGAGTCACTGAAACCTTAGATGACTAAATTCTTGAGGAATAAACTGTCAGGAATATGATACTGGTCAGGACAGTGCAGGGGGAGAAGAAAACTTCTTAAATAGCTGTTGTTTGGTTTTTTGTCCATGATTCATTCCTGAGGAAATTGCTGCATCTCTGGCCAGGAACAGGGCAGCATGCAGGCAGTGCCAGCCCTCCTCTGCAGAGGCAGCAGGCAAAGCGTGCTGGGGTGCACAGCCCTGCTGCTCCAGGCACAACACCCCTGCCCAAGGGGCTGAGAGGGGATCAGGAGCACTCCATGGCTGTCCTGCCCAGGTGAATAGAGTAAGACAGGATCACTAGTGCTAATATACCAACTGAATCAATTAACGTCATATTTTTGTATACTAGCAGGTATGAAACCAAGAGGAAATGAAGGTTTTAAAACTCTAATTCTAGCTTCTTTCAAAAAGTTTTCTTGCTCTACCTGCTCCAACCAGTTAACCAAGTTCTAGCAATAAAAACTGGCCCAAAGGTAATAAGATTTTAAGCTAGTAACAGCAGAAGCAGTCAGATACCCTCCACAGCTACCTGCAGAGGAGCTGAACCAGCATTAGCAGCAGTGGGAAATGTTTGCAGTAGTATCTTGAGTGTGAAGAAACCCCAGTGTTCCAGCATGCCACTGCCAGTTCCCATTTTGAGAAGTTTGACCCAAGCATTTACCATCTCAGCATCAGTTCTGTGTCTCATAATGCTGTTTACGTAATGATTGCTCGTTTGGTTCCCATTAAAATCATGGCATTTCTTCTGCAAACCACTGCTCGTAAAAATCTAGCCACCCAGTTTCTCTTTAGATTGTAATACAGGAAATAAATAGTAGGATGCACACTGTAATTCTCAGAGAATGGGGGGCTTTTTTTCCCCTGTTGGTCATATAAAGTTCAGACATTAGAAGTAAGAATGTGAAAGATCTGTTAAGGATTGGTGAATCCATCTCCTGCAAAAACAGTGTAGTTACTCCCTGGCAGATGTTCCTCAGGTATTATATTGATAAAAAGAGAGTCTACAGCTCTCCATAGTCAAAGCATTGAGAATCCTCTTAAAATTGGAGAAATGGTAAGTGAAGTTCTCTCAGGCCATCCCAGTGCTGCTATACTTTGAGGCAGGGCAGAATGACTCCTTGTATTATATATACCAGCACTTTGAAGAACTCAGTTTCAAATGTCTCAAACAATGGGGGTTTCACGGCTTCCTGTGGGAGCCTGCTCTGCAGCCTAACTCATTTTACCATCTGGAGCATTTTCCTGAGTGTCTGCTCACTTAAAACTTTCTTTTAATTGTATACCCACTATTTCTTTTTAAAGGTGACTTATCAAAAGTTTCTGTTGTGTGAAATTCACGCAAGGTCATGCTTTTTTTATTTTTTATGAGGATCAAGAAAACCTTGAAAGATTGATGGCTTCTTCTCTTTGCTTTTTCTTCCTCAGAAATAATAATAAGTAATTAATAATGTATTACTGCTTTTCTAGCTATTCATCTCAACGATTTACAAGGAAGGTCAGCATTGTTGTACTCTTTTTACAGATGGGAAAAATTGAAGCACAGGGCAGGAAACAACTTGCCCAAGATCATTCAATGAGTCTATGGCAAGACTTGGATTTTTAAGCAGGTCTCCACAGTACTGCCCTACTTTTTTTCTACTCTTTTTTTTTTTTCTTTTTTTGGCCCAGTCTCATTCCCTTTGGCTTTGTTGGAGTACGTAGGAAGGACAAACTTTCCATGAACTTTATTCAGAATTGTAATATTGTAACTGAAAGGTCAGCTTGTTGAATATTCAACAGTTGCTATCTTTCCAGTGTGTTGGTCAAGCATCCTAATTAAGTAGTGATAAATAAAACCAACAAAGCATTTTAACAGACTGATTCAGTCCCTAGGGCCTCCAAGCTGAATTTCCTTCAGCTAGCCTGTGTTTTCCAAGTTGCAGATTGTCCAGCTTGAACACAGTATATATCAAGCACACTTTATCAGTGCACTGCAGAGAGATTTCCTTCCTTCTCAATGCCACCATGCTTACTTCACATGTTGTATTTCCCTTAGCTGCGGGTTTTGGTAAGCACGTTTCTCAGAATCTGGGTAGTTGCTGAATTATAAATCTTCCAATTTGGAATAATAACACCACAATGTGTACACCATGATATACTGGGTAGGGAGCCGAGCCCTGAACAGGCTTACCTGGATATCAGAAGCAGTCTGGCCTTAGCAGCACAGAGCTCTCCTTGAGTTTCTAGCAGACAGGGTGTTTCTCCTACCTGCCTGTCCAGCCTGTCATTTCAGTGACTATCTTTAGTGGGACAGGATATGCTTAAGCACATGGTAAGACAAGTGTTGTTCCTCACCTCCACGTGGAAAGGTGAAGGCAGTCACATCTGTGTGCTCGCAGTCTGGTCTGCAGGGGACTTGTAACTACCTCACACTGATCAGAGACTAAACTGATAGTGCCCTGATGGGCACATGCAAGGTGTAGCACTCTGTATGGATTGAGAAATGAGAAATTAGTGCTGTGGGTAGGCCAGAGTTATGTCTGAGGGGATAGCACACAGATCTTCTTGGCTTCCGACCATTCACAAAGTATGCCAGAAGTAAAGTTCTTACCCTCTGAGTTATTCCCCTACTGCTCTTTCAGGCCTTCATTCCAGATATCATCCAACCAGCATCTGAGGATTTACCAAAAGCTACAGAACTGCTTTTAGGTCACTAAGTACATTGTCTTTGCTTTCAAATTGAGTTTGAGAAATTACCAGCAGTGTCAAGCTTATATCTCCTGGCCATGTGAATAGAGGAAGCTAAGAAGTAACAGTAGATTACATAAAGCAGGGAAATTCCCCTCAAACTTCTCCCAGACTACCTGGAACTGAAGCTGATTTGCATACATACAGTACAAATAACTTTGCAATGGCTTCTAGCCCCATGAAAGGGTTACATGTGTTCATCTGTAATCCTTGAGGCCAGTTCCACCAGTTGAATCACTCAGAGAAGATAAAAAGATTGAATCAGAGCTTGTATAGAAATCTAAGCAGTTTTACATAGCATCAACCAACTTCACATGAGGATACAACTGGGTAATGCTATTCCACACAAAATCAATGGGAACTGTTCAATACCTGTTAGTGACTAATAGTTATTCTAGAAAAACAGTGCAGAAAAAACCTGCCAACCTATGTTATGCTTTTTAATTTGTGAGAATGGATGGGTAGTAGTATCATACTTCCACTAAAAGTGCAACTAAACTTCCTATATAAATCCTGTTTGGTGGAAAATGGACCTTACTGTAAACCAGAAAAAAAGCTATGGTACTGTTGTAGTGGAAAACTATGGTCAGCTGCTTTACAAAATCTGAGACTCATTTGGCCAGGAATTCCTGGGTGATGCTGTTCAAAAAGCAGTGGTGTTAAACAGACTTCCAGAACTCCTGTGATTTTTTTAAACATCATGGTTTAACAGAAACAAGCAAGTGAGCAGAGGAGGAGGATGACTGAGACACATTTTCCTTTGACAACTTATGTAGTAAGCCTTGTGTTTCTTTTACAATATCACCTCTGTTAATATTAATAACGTCATGGCCTGTTGCCATGAAATACCCTGCTTTTCACTCTCCTTCTTTCAGCTTTATTGACTTTCTTCAAAGCTCTGCTACAGAACAATAGGAATCAGCCCAGGTATGAACTGGCTGTTCTGCAGAGTCCTTCAGGTACCTGAGGGGTCTGTGTGCTACAATGGAGCTTGTCTCACTGGGTCATCTGTAGAGACTGAAAAATAAGTACATATTTGAATAGGCCTGGGATGCCTTGCGATGGATATTGCCTTGCTTGGATATTTTGGTCCTGATAACTGTGTGTGTTTCTTCAGTTTGCGTTCCTTTCATCAACTTACAGGTTGATCAGGCTTTCACTTTGTTTTTTTATTATTTCCTCTCACAAACAACAGTCCATTTATTACATATGGTGTCTAATCACAGTAATATGATAATATCTTGTATTCACATAGAGAGCTTCATCCCAAAGCACTCAGCCTGACATGGACATGGGACTAAGATTAGAAGAGGAGCAGCTCATACTGGTTAGGAAGCAGGCTCTGCTTTCAGCCTAGGTATTAATAAAGCATAAGGAGTGGAAGCATAATATTTCCTCTGAATCCAAAGAAATTTGCTATTAGTTGTAAAATATATTGGTATAAGCTGTGCACTGTTTAACTCTAGAAAATGTATTTGAACTGTAAATATTGGGGTTGAGGTGTCTGTCTTTATTGTGTGTTTCAGACGGAAAGGATCGAACAAATTTAATTTGGGAAGGAACCAATCCTGCCCTGCAGCCCATACGAGTGAGGAACACTGCCTTGAAAGATACTTTACTTAGTGCTACTTTACCTAGCACTACTGGAGAGACTTCAAGCAATACATCCAATCTATAGAAAGACCAATGGAAACTCCCCAAAGAAAAGAATAAATGACGACATTGTTTTTCAAAAATCTGTTGAAGCATTCTTCTTCTTTTGTCTCTTTGAAGACTAACTTTAAAACCAAATACTGTTCTTTCTATGTATGGGGCCGCACTTTGCTCTGAGCTTATGAAAAACCTGTATTTTGTTCAAGTTGACTTAAGTGACTTAATAATAAAAGCCTCTGAACAACACACATGCTACTGAAGAAGGATAGGCCACACGTCCCTTCCTAATTCACCTCATCAATTTGGAGAAACCAATAGTTAAGCACATGAGTGTCCACAGCTCATAACATAGTGAAATGTACATTTCTTTTCTTTAAGAGAATGATAAACCCGCTCATTGGTGTGATTAAGAAATGATAGCACAGAGAGCACTTATTCCTGTAACTCACTTGAAAATCACCTGAGATGATAAAAGAGTTGCTAATAGCTGGGCTCTGACAGTTCAGAATGGAAGGAGAACAGGTAGCAATCTGAATGGTAGGAAGATCGCTGTGTATTACAGCTGCTTACCTTCCTCTGTCTTCAAAGCACTTTTAAAGTATTCACACCATGACTGCAAACCACAGAACTATTTAATCACTTTACAGACTTAGAGAAAGTATGAGTTGCTCAAGGCCATTGAAGGCATCACTGGCTGTACTGTGACCAGGATCAGGCTGTTCCCAGCTCTCAAGCCTAAGGAAAAGCCATGGGTTCAGTTAGTGCCAACTCCCAATGCACAAGCGCCATTGGCCCGAGAGGTTGGTTCTGTCCTCTGCTGTCACAGGGAAAGCCTCCCTGAGCAACTGCTTGAAAAGCAGAGTAACCTGTACAGAATGAAATAATACCTGTGCTTGGGTACAGTTGCATGGATTATTTCAATAGTTAATAGCCATCCCCCCTGCCAGGATGTCTGTTGAGTTCACTTAGTCCATGACTGTGAGTTCTATCCATCCTAGATGTCTTCCAGGTCAGGAAGACTGGTGTGCTGTTGGTTGCACCAGGAGCTCCTGACTGGTGTATTTGAAGCAGTCCATCCTCACTGTCAGTGGTAGTTATGACATACAGTAGCAGTGTCATTCAGCAACCAGTATTACTTATGCAATTAAACATTACAGACTGTTCTCACCCAAAAATCAAATCCCCTCGAGATACGCATCGTGTTTCCCTGTTCCTCTGCATCACCCACCAAGTGCACCCAGGTCCTTGAGCAAAAACAATCCCCCAGAATGGTTTGTCTTTGCTTGAGGCAGGACTAATCTCAACTGTCTAATCTAACGCATTTCTCATATGCATCACAGAGACTTTATCCCCTTTTATGGTACATAGAGGTTCTGATTGGGCAGAGCCAGTTCAGTTGGTAGAGCCTCAGGTGTTAACTAACCATTGGTAGAGCCTCAGGTGTTAACGAACCAGGTGGCTTTTGCTAAATTCCAATGTTTGAAGGTCCCATTGCTTTCAATGTGGTTTTCAACAGTCCATTATACCATTCAGCTTTCCCAGAGGCTGGTACATGATAGGGAATGTGATATACCCACTCAACACCATGCTCTCTGGCACAACATGCCTGCAAACCACAGAACTACTTCCTTACCTTACAGGCTTTTGCTGTTTGCTAGGCAGTCTTTGGGTGATGAGAAAGTTCCTGGGGAACACATGGCCCCTGTTAAAAAGTACTGCACACCCTTACTGAGGCACTGCAAGAGACGTGGAAGCTGATGTTGCATCACTCCCAGCCACCAAGCAGGATGGAATGGAGACAGCATATCTGCAGCTATCTACTTACGCACCTGCTCATGCAGCTTTGGGCTCTCCTTTAACAAGGAAGTTTCCATCACAACAAGGAAGCTACTCCATTTCAATAAGCTACTTTTAAAAGCTAATACATTTCACCTTGGGAAGAGCAATTTTCCAGCTTCAGTGTTACCAGTTTTGGGTTTTGAAGAAACCTTTGTAACATGTAATTTTAATTTTGTTTTAACTAAGATTCAGATTTTCCTGAGGGTGTTGCACTACTGGCCACTCAAACCCTGCTGAACTTGCTTGTAGCCATTTTATCTGGGTATCTTGTAAATATTTGGTAGAACACTCAGACAGAGAAGTGTTTTTGCTCTTACAGTCACATGCCTGGTTCCAGGACCTTTTGGAAGCACAAAAGACTGAAAGCAGGGAAAATTCCACTGAGATGTATTAAAGTCTCCAGGGAGCAACTGCACTCTGTTTAGACTGAAATTTCTCATTGCTGACTCTCCCTATTTTAAAAAAACATTAAAAGATAGAGGGGGGAAAGCTGGTGGGTTTCATTGTTATAAACACCAAAATGTTTTCACTCATTTCTCTTATGTTGCAGAACCATTGGCAGTTGGAGAGGGAGATAATGCTCTCTGCGCTACCTGGGAAATTTCCATCCAATTTCTAAAATGTTTTACAAACATTAATGAATTAAAGTTTAATCCCCTTCTCATCCCTGTGAAGCAAGTACAGTTTAAAGACAGGGCTAATGAGACTAAAATAGTTGTGCCTTGCTGAAGTCACGTGGGCAGCGTGGTAAGAGGACTTGGGTCTTTGAGTCACAGCTTTCTAGCTTATACCACAGAAAACACACATTCCCTCCCTTTTCCGGGCTTGCTGTACTTCCCCTTCTGGGATATGGTGAAAACATGCTGGCATCACACCTTGAGACAACCTTTGCTTTTCCCTCTTGAAACAGAGAGATTGCTCACAACTCCTGTCCCATGGAATTAAAATGTTGAAAAAATCAGAGAGGGATGTGAGGTGAGGGAAAAACAATCAAGTCACTGCTCTGTATGCCTTGGGCATGCTCTCCTCCACAGCCAGTGGAGTTGGTGTTCTGTCAGGAGCATCCTCAAACATTTTTTTACGTGCTTCCATATAATATTCAGGCAGGTCTATGGTAAAAATGCCATTATCAAAGAGAGAACTTGACTGACAAGAAAATTGGACAGATGAGCCAATAAGTCACTCCTGTATTGAATATATGTGATTTCATTATCCTTCTATATGTGACCTGCATTTCTTACTGCTTGTTATTATCAGAACCCTGTAACTACTGCTGCAGCCATCTCTTTCACTTCTTCAGAAAAGAGGGATAATCCATCAGCCAGTTCCTCTCCAGTGGTATGAGAGGTTTTTACTGGGGGGATTAATGGTCAGTTGAAGAGAGCTGTTCCCGACAGGACTGAGCCAAAAACAATGTGCATATGAGTCATGAAGTGGAAGAGAAGGAAACAAATCTATAGATTCAAAGTTTTTGAATTATTTCTTTTCCCTAGCTTCCTTTGTCCACACTCATCAATAGCCAGACGTGCAAAAACTGGGTATATGTTGATGGTGACCAGTGTAAGCAGAACTGAAAGCTTCTCCCACTGAGCAAACAAACCTGAAGTCAGTCAGCCTTCAAAACCAGATCAGTGTGTACCAGCTATTCCAGCCCTTGTAGGTGAGAGAAGCTGGGAGAAAAATCAGATCACAGTGCAGCAGCCTCCTCTTGTCTCTCCTGTGACCCTATGGTGTACCTCAGCACTAAAGCCTTTGGCCTCTTCACACTATTACCTTCTGTGGTGAGGCCCCAGAACCGGTCCTTGGGTATGCTGCTTCTGTAACACCCATCCCTGCAGAGGATCTGGACTCACTGCAAATGCTGTGCACAGTGCTCATTTCATTCCTTGCTGAAAGGGAGCCAGGCCTGAGGTGGAACATGGCAAGCAGTTCGCCGCACCTGGCAACTCCACACAGCTGCTGAAAACAAGCGAGGAAGAAAGCAGTGTACAAATGCAGGGGAATTTTCACATAGGCAGGATGTAATTAGCAGAGCTGGAATTTGGCCAGGACACTGGGGTTAAAACACTGGCTCACAGGTAACACAGTGGGATCTTTCATAATTCAAATGCTCAGGATCTCCCATTTCCATTTTACCTGGAAGATGTCATAAGACAGTTCCCTATTTAATGTCTCTGGGCAGCTCTCGAACATCTGACACAAAGGAAGAAGTGTCTAAATGGTGCTGCACCTGCAGCGCTTCTCCGCCAGCAACTGCCCACTGTGAACAGCAGCTGAAAAGATCACATCCTGACAGGACTATGGCTGCATCGCTGTAAAACACACCTCAGCTGCCTCCATGCCTTGGGTTTCACTTCACCCCTAACTCTAATTACTCAGTTTTCAGGCTCCAAATCCCTACCAAACAGAAGGAGAAGATGATAAAATTAGGGCAGTCCCTCGCACATAAAACACAAAAGAGAGAATATTAATAAGAGCAGCATTACATGCTGCTTCAACCTTTTTCTCTGCCATTTGAAATAGTACCAGATAGCAACTGGGCAACAGAGAATTTAGATGAAGTACTTCCCCCCAGAGCAGATGAGTGAGCTTTTCCAACTGGCCTTGCTGGTGATAGAACGTTAAGAGCTTGTGCTGCCTCCTTCCTTCCAGCAAGGAAATCACGTTCAAGGCAGCAAAACATTTTTTTCCCCTTCATGATCTCACTTTCTGTATAAGCAATCTTTGTGTTTACTACGAGGATGTTGCATGTCCACAAAAGGTCAGGGAAGTCATTCATGAACCTCAAGTGTGCAAAATCTACACAATGTTTCTACCATGATGTGGCCCATAGTCTGAAATAGAAATAATTACAAACCTCTAGCCCCTCATCAGTCAGACCTGCAGACTATTTACAGTCAAAGAGCTGACTTCCTCCATGTGATGCAGTGCACGCAAGCAAAACAAGAAGTGTTCCTGCCATCCAAAAAAGTATAATCTCTGCATCAGTAAGTCATGAAAAAGGGACCCCTTCTATGCCTCTGAGGGGTCCCCATAGCAGATTTTGGTTTATTTAGGGGTTTTTTTGTATGCCCAGGGTGACGTGCAAGTCCCCCTCTTTGTCAAGTGTTCCTTAATACAATCACCAGCCAAACTTGACGAGAGCGAGACTTACTCCAATGACAAAGTGAGCTGGGGAGAGTAAAGTATGGGCAGCTGCAGGCAACAGGAAATCCAGCACTAATAAATAAAATGTCTTATAGCC